GCTATCTCTCTCCCGCTCATAATCTCTATGTCTAGTGTGAGCGATTCAAAAAAAAGGAATCAAGATTATTCCATTTTCTTAAGGTGCAGTGACAGGCCCTTCTCTCTCGCTATCTCTCTCTCGCTATCTCTCTCTCGCTCTCTATCTCTATGTCTAGTGTGAGCGATTCAAAAAAAAAGGAATCAAGATTATTCCATTTTCTTAAGGTGCAGTGACAGGCCCTTCTCTCTCGCTATCTCTCTCTCGCTATCTCTCTCTCGCTCTCTATCTCTATGTCTAGTGTGAGCGATTCAAAAAAAAAGGAATCAAGATTATTCCATTTTCTTAAGGTGCAGTGACAGGCCCTTCTCTCTCGCTATCTCTCTCTCGCTATCTCTCTCTCGCTCTCTATCTCTATGTCTAGTGTGAGCGATTCAAAAAAAAAGGAATCAAGATTATTCCATTTTCTTAAGGTGCAGTGACAGGCCCTTCTCTCTCGCTATCTCTCTCTCGCTATCTCTCTCTCGCTCTCTATCTCTATGTCTAGTGTGAGCGATTCAAAAAAAAGGAATCAAGATTATTCCATTTTCTTAAGGTGCAGTGACAGGCCCTTCTCTCTCGCTATCTCTCTCTCGCTATCTCTCTCTCGCTCTCTATCTCTATGTCTAGTGTGAGCGATTCAAAAAAAAAGGAATCAAGATTATTCCATTTTCTTAAGGTGCAGTGACAGGCCCTTCTCTCTCGCTATCTCTCTCTCGCTATCTCTCTCTCGCTCTCTATCTCTATGTCTAGTGTGAGCGATTCAAAAAAAAGGAATCAAGATTATTCCATTTTCTTAAGGTGCAGTGACAGGCCCTTCTCTCTCGCTATCTCTCTCTCGCTATCTCTCTCTCGCTCTCTATCTCTATGTCTAGTGTGAGCGATTCAAAAAAAAAGGAATCAAGATTATTCCATTTTCTTAAGGTGCAGTGACAGGCCCTTCTCTCTCGCTATCTCTCTCTCGCTATCTCTCTCTCGCTCTCTATCTCTATGTCTAGTGTGAGCGATTCAAAAAAAAAGGAATCAAGATTATTCCATTTTCTTAAGGTGCAGTGACAGGCCCTTCTCTCTCGCTATCTCTCTCTCGCTATCTCTCTCTCGCTCTCTATCTCTATGTCTAGTGTGAGCGATTCAAAAAAAAAGGAATCAAGATTATTCCATTTTCTTAAGGTGCAGTGACAGGCCCTTCTCTCTCGCTATCTCTCTCTCGCTATCTCTCTCTCGCTCTCTATCTCTATGTCTAGTGTGAGCGATTCAAAAAAAAAGGAATCAAGATTATTCCATTTTCTTAAGGTGCAGTGACAGGCCCTTCTCTCTCGCTATCTCTCTCTCGCTATCTCTCTCTCGCTCTCTATCTCTATGTCTAGTGTTAGCGATTCAAAAAAAAGGAATCAAGATTATTCCATTTTCTTAAGGTGCAGTGACAGGCCCTTCTCTCTCGCTATCTCTCTCTCGCTATCTCTCTCTCGCTCTCTATCTCTATGTCTAGTGTGAGCGATTCAAAAAAAAAGGAATCAAGATTATTCCATTTTCTTAAGGTGCAGTGACAGGCCCTTCTCTCTCGCTATCTCTCTCTCGCTATCTCTCTCTCGCTCTCTATCTCTATGTCTAGTGTGAGCGATTCAAAAAAAAGGAATCAAGATTATTCCATTTTCTTAAGGTGCAGTGACAGGCCCTTCTCTCTCGCTATCTCTCTCTCGCTATCTCTCTCTCGCTCTCTATCTCTATGTCTAGTGTTAGCGATTCAAAAAAAAGGAATCAAGATTATTCCATTTTCTTAAGGTGCAGTGACAGGCCCTTCTCTCTCGCTATCTCTCTCTCGCTATCTCTCTCTCGCTCTCTATCTCTATGTCTAGTGTTAGCGATTCAAAAAAAAAGGAATCAAGATTATTCCATTTTCTTAAGGTGCAGTGACAGGCCCTTCTCTCTCGCTATCTCTCTCTCGCTATCTCTCTCTCGCTCTCTATCTCTATGTCTAGTGTTAGCGATTCAAAAAAAAAGGAATCAAGATTATTCCATTTTCTTAAGGTGCAGTGACAGGCCCTTCTCTCTCGCTATCTCTCTCTCGCTATCTCTCTCTCGCTCTCTATCTCTATGTCTAGTGTGAGCGATTCAAAAAAAAAGGAATCAAGATTATTCCATTTTCTTAAGGTGCAGTGACAGGCCCTTCTCTCTCGCTATCTCTCTCTCGCTATCTCTCTCTCGCTCTCTATCTCTATGTCTAGTGTTAGCGATTCAAAAAAAAAGGAATCAAGATTATTCCATTTTCTTAAGGTGCAGTGACAGGCCCTTCTCTCTCGCTATCTCTCTCTCGCTATCTCTCTCTCGCTCTCTATCTCTATGTCTAGTGTGAGCGATTCAAAAAAAAAGGAATCAAGATTATTCCATTTTCTTAAGGTGCAGTGACAGGCCCTTCTCTCTCGCTATCTCTCTCTCGCTATCTCTCTCTCGCTCTCTATCTCTATGTCTAGTGTTAGCGATTCAAAAAAAAAGGAATCAAGATTATTCCATTTTCTTAAGGTGCAGTGACAGGCCCTTCTCTCTCGCTATCTCTCTCTCGCTATCTCTCTCTCGCTCTCTATCTCTATGTCTAGTGTGAGCGATTCAAAAAAAAAGGAATCAAGATTATTCCATTTTCTTAAGGTGCAGTGACAGGCCCTTCTCTCTCGCTATCTCTCTCTCGCTATCTCTCTCTCGCTCTCTATCTCTATGTCTAGTGTTAGCGATTCAAAAAAAAAGGAATCAAGATTATTCCATTTTCTTAAGGTGCAGTGACAGGCCCTTCTCTCTCGCTATCTCTCTCTCGCTATCTCTCTCTCGCTCTCTATCTCTATGTCTAGTGTTAGCGATTCAAAAAAAAGGAATCAAGATTATTCCATTTTCTTAAGGTGCAGTGACAGGCCCTTCTCTCTCGCTATCTCTCTCTCGCTATCTCTCTCTCGCTCTCTATCTCTATGTCTAGTGTGAGCGATTCAAAAAAAAAGGAATCAAGATTATTCCATTTTCTTAAGGTGCAGTGACAGGCCCTTCTCTCTCGCTATCTCTCTCTCGCTATCTCTCTCTCGCTCTCTATCTCTATGTCTAGTGTTAGCGATTCAAAAAAAAGGAATCAAGATTATTCCATTTTCTTAAGGTGCAGTGACAGGCCCTTCTCTCTCGCTATCTCTCTCTCGCTATCTCTCTCTCGCTCTCTATCTCTATGTCTAGTGTTAGCGATTCAAAAAAAAGGAATCAAGATTATTCCATTTTCTTAAGGTGCAGTGACAGGCCCTTCTCTCTCGCTATCTCTCTCTCGCTATCTCTCTCTCGCTCTCTATCTCTATGTCTAGTGTTAGCGATTCAAAAAAAAGGAATCAAGATTATTCCATTTTCTTAAGGTGCAGTGACAGGCCCTTCTCTCTCGCTATCTCTCTCTCGCTATCTCTCTCTCGCTCTCTATCTCTATGTCTAGTGTGAGCGATTCAAAAAAAAGGAATCAAGATTATTCCATTTTCTTAAGGTGCAGTGACAGGCCCTTCTCTCTCGCTATCTCTCTCTCGCTATCTCTCTCTCGCTCCCTATCTCTATGTCTAGTGTTAGCGATTCAAAAAAAAGGAATCAAGATTATTCCATTTTCTTAAGGTGCAGTGACAGGCCCTTCTCTCTCGCTATCTCTCTCTCGCTATCTCTCTCTCGCTCTCTATCTCTATGTCTAGTGTGAGCGATTCAAAAAAAAGGAATCAAGATTATTCCATTTTCTTAAGGTGCAGTGACAGGCCCTTCTCTCTCGCTATCTCTCTCTCGCTCTCTATCTCTATGTCTAGTGTTAGCGATTCAAAAAAAAGGAATCAAGATTATTCCATTTTCTTAAGGTGCAGTGACAGGCCCTTCTCTCTCGCTATCTCTCTCTCGCTATCTCTCTCTCGCTCTCTATCTCTATGTCTAGTGTGAGCGATTCAAAAAAAAGGAATCAAGATTATTCCATTTTCTTAAGGTGCAGTGACAGGCCCTTCTCTCTCGCTATCTCTCTCTCGCTATCTCTCTCTCGCTCTCTATCTCTATGTCTAGTGTGAGCGATTAAAAAAAAAGGAATCAAGATTATTCCATTTTCTTAAGGTGCAGTGACAGGCCCTTCTCTCTCGCTATCTCTCTCTCGCTATCTCTCTCTCGCTCTCTATCTCTATGTCTAGTGTGAGCGATTCAAAAAAAAGGAATCAAGATTATTCCATTTTCTTAAGGTGCAGTGACAGGCCCTTCTCTCTCGCTATCTCTCTCTCGCTCTCTATCTCTATGTCTAGTGTGAGCGATTCAAAAAAAAGGAATCAAGATTATTCCATTTTCTTAAGGTGCAGTGACAGGCCCTTCTCTCTCGCTATCTCTCTCTCGCTATCTCTCTCTCGCTCTCTATCTCTATGTCTAGTGTGAGCGATTCAAAAAAAAGGAATCAAGATTATTCCATTTTCTTAAGGTGCAGTGACAGGCCCTTCTCTCTCGCTATCTCTCTCTCGCTCTCTCTCTCTCGCTCCCTATCTCCATATCTCGTACGAATCCATAAAGATTATCCATAATTTTGCACCGAATGCAACATTTCCGTTTTGAATTTGAATTAACCTCACTAAAACAATTTTTTTCTGCTTTGAAATATTTTCTGGTAGGTTCTTTGTTCGGCTCCACGGGCCAGGCTCCTCAGGCCAAACTCGACTCCGCTCTCATTCTTTCGTTTTGTGAAACAGATCTGCAAAAGAAATCGACTCCACAGCCAAGTGTCGGGATCAACACAAGCGAAATCAACTGTTTATGCCAAGAAGAACGGAACGTAACGAATCGTAACGGAACATAGCGAGGATCACGGAGAATATTGAAACGAATTGGGCAGATGATCAAATAATGGGGGAAAATGAGGAATTCGAGCATGTGGACGTGAGCATGAGCATGAGCATGAGCATGAGATTTGAGGTGGCTTCACGTCGAGGTCCATGGCCGTCGTCGTGCTGGGCGGTCTAATCGGTCGGCAGCAGATGGTGATGACGCCAGCACAGCGTGCAGGCAGCGTCTAAATTTGAGGTGAGTTGAACGTCATTTGCGGCATACCTGCGGCAAAGTGGAGCATAATCGCGGAGACTCCCCTGGAAATTTAAATTAGTGGAGGGTTAGGAGTGTAGCTGGGCTTTGCGATGGCCAAAGTCTTGAAAGTACTCACTTCAAGTCCTTGAGCTCGGAATAGATGACGCATCGGGCGGTGTGGGTGGCGTCGTTGCCGCGTCTGTAATTGAGCCAATTTCAGTGTGTGGCTTCGTTTTTCTTACCCGGAACGCTGGTAGCAGGCCGAACACATTCCCTTCTTGTGCCTCTGCTCCTGCTCGGTCTTCGGGCAAGCCTTACACTATAAAACAACGGTTTTACGTGTGGAAAAGACTGCTCACATCCTTCTTGGCCAACAGTCCGGCGGACTTGCGCTCCAGCCACGTCTCGAAGGACACAAGCTCGACCTGGAACGATTCAATTTAATATGCTAATAAAAAATATCCTAACTGCTACGCAGGAGTTTTTTACGAAACGGAAATTTTCGATGGAAAAGCAGTGGAAATTCCCGACATAGAGTTCACCCGTTTTTCCACAAAAAACATCCACCATATTTCCGGTTTTTTCGCATTATTGGGGGGCAAGTTTTTTCGGAATAATTTCAAATAGAAAACCAGCTAAAACAGTAAAAATATTAAGCAAAACGCAAATTTTGGTCGAAAAATCGATTTTTTTAAAAACAAAATTTTGTAAGTTTTCGCGTTTGGGAACAGCAAAAAAACCGGCTAAACTCTACTTTACCCCCAGGCGAGATAGTAGGCCTGGGGGAGAGGGCGCAGGCGAAGAGATAGTAGGCCTGGGGGAGGGCGCAGAGAAAGGGGCGTCTGGGGGGGGTAAAGTGAGTCTTACCAAAAAACCATTTAGAAACACCTCCACAATTTGTATGGATTAATTAGATCCTAGGAAACACATTTTTCCCTCCTTGCAAACGCGTCAAAAAACATACGAGGGCCGGTCGCCAGGCTGGCGCCACCTTGGCGAGGGCCTCTTCCCCGACTTCTTCGTCGCGCTCCACGGGGACGGCCTCCTGCTTCCTCTTTTCCTTCTCCTTCTCTTTCTCGTCGTCATTCTTGACCGGCTCTCTCTCCTTCTCCTTCTCTTTCTCTCTCTTCTTCACCGCCTGCTTGTTCTTGTCCTTCTTCGGGACGGCTTCGCGATTCAGAAGGAGCTTCGGCGGCATCTTTGAAAGGTTTGATAAATTGATCTGTAAGCCCTACGTTGCCCGTCGAGTCGAGTAAGAAGATGCCACGATTGGTTGGGTGTTTGATTTTGATTTATACGCGTACTTACATGCTAATTATTTTTGTTTCCGGCAGAGTGCTCCATTGATGCTAATTAAGGCATTCTGCTGTCTGATGTAAAAAACCCCACCTTCAATTACCGGCGTGAGAACTATGGTACTCAACTGTTAGCGGGGGGGGGGGGGGGCGGGTGGCGGGTAGGGGGATCAAAATTTGATGCTTTTTTGGGCATTTTCGATAAACTTTTATGTACAGGGTGGGCAGAAAAAAAAAGTGCCTGGTTTGCGTCAAAATATCTCGCTAGGGGAAACGAATCGAACCATCGTTACCTTGCCAGAATGCTTAAATATACTGGGTATGAAGAATAAACACAACTTACTTTTTACGATTTTTCACGACCCCCTACTCGTTAAGAATTTTTGAACATTTTTGAAAAAGTAGAAAACTTTGAAGACGAAAATCATGGAACTTTTAATGAGTTAGGGAGACATGTAGGGTGTCACACCTCTAAAGGGTGACTTCGCCGGGGCGGCCATGCTAGGCCCTGGGGGAGGCCGCCGTCTCGTATAAAGCTGGCCCGCTTGGCCTCTTTCCTCTCCTTCCAAATCCCCCCCAACCCCAACTTCGCCCTTGGCTCGGCCCGCCGGTTCCACTTAGGACCCGACAAGAGCTAAAGGGGATTTGGTGTATTTACGTGCTACGCAATAAACTTCATACCTTATAATAGCCGCACCCTATTATAATAACACCCAAAATCCACTGAACACTATACCGACGCGAATATAGGTGCGACATTGGTGCATCGGCCTAACCAAACCCGGCCCAGCTACCATATTCCTACATATTCCTACTTATTCCTACCTATATTCTTATATTCAATAAATTCCTGTATTTATATTCCTGAACCTACCTCTAAAATTTCAGACTAAAAACTATCAATTCCCATATTCCTACCTCTACGATATTACCCCCTTTGCAAATTTTCATACGACTCTATTCGAATATTGAACTTCCTTTCTAATCATCTCGATATTAAACCACTCCAAATTTGCCCTTTCTGTACTCTACAGTACTTTTCGTGATTTCGCAAATTCGCTATTCACTACTTAAATCGGAATCTCGAGGGATTCGACACCAGATTGCACCATCTGGGGTCAGCCGGCGGACCCACGCCAGCGCTGCCATCAATCCCCCCTTGGGATCGCTTACGCCCTGTCAACCGGCCCAGGGACAAAGCCCCTTATTACCGTATCCCTCCGCAAGTGGGCCCTTATTCGGAGCTGCCCCCCGGCACCAGGCCCACATCTCATTTACAACCAAAATCGTCAACAACATCCGACTACCGTAACCCAGTCGCCAAGCCATCTTCAAGCTATATTTGAGCAGCAAGCGGTTTACGTGAGTTCAAACGGGGTCATTCAATTTGGGTTGACCCAATTCAGTTTACTAGGCCATACCAAATTACAACCTTTACCCTCTAAATTTAACAAAACCTTCTCTAACTAAAAGGCCTAGTCGACGAAGCGGGCGGGGTACTGTTGGTCCAGCACCACACGACAACCTCACCCACCTTTGGCGTTTGTGCATTCACGTCTTCCCGTTTCGTGCCGCACATTTGCACTACTCACACTTTGACTCCGACTAACAACTATAACCGCATTGCGCTCTCAACTACTCCCTCCTCCGCATCATCACGCAATCAATCAATCTGATGGTGCTCGGACAGGAATTCCAAACGCCGACGGCTACGCGCCCCCGCTCCCTAGCCTCCACAAAGATCGCCCTGACAAGAGCCATCCGCGATCTGACGGAAATGCGCAAAACGGCAGTGCAGGCCTTTGAAATTACGGACGGCACCGAATGGACGCAAGCGTTAATCGAATCGGAAGAAGTCGCCCAAACAGTGCTGGATAAATCACAACAACTTGCAAGCCACCGAAAAAATCTATGCGATGCGATCGCCACATATGAATGGGAGCGAAGCGAGCTCGACACTTTTGAAGCTGAAGACGTCAACGGAGAATATGGTCTCGCGGACTGGATCCAGAGACATAACCTTGACACCGAATACGACAAAGCGAGCAGCTGCCTCAACTGGCTCACCAGAGCAGTAAATATGACCCAGACAGCGATCACGACTTTCATGAGTGTTCAGCAACTAGCCCGAGCCGTTAACCGACAGAACCACAGACAAGGCGGTAACAATGAGAATCTCCCGGAAGACCGCATCGTCGTACAGCCCGTCGTGATGGCCCAAAACACCCCTAGACTACCCGAAATCACCCTCCCCATCTTCTCGGGCGAACCGGACGAATATCCTGCATGGCTACAAATTTTCAAACAACTTGTCGGCAACAATCAGCATCTCAACGACTTGGACAAGTTCACATATTTATTGAGCTGCTTAAAAGGACGTGCCGAGAGCGTACTGAAATCTGTGACGCTCTCTGCCGAAAACTACGCACTAGCCCTCACGCTGCTTGAAGATAAATACGCTAAAGCAGCTACGCAACAGCTCTGCCTACTTCAGAAGCTGCGCAACACGCCCAAAGCGCACAATGCCGAAGAAGCTAGTGTGGTGCACGACCGAGTGAACGCAATTTACAAGCAGCTGTTGAAAGAAGAAATCGAAATCGATCCCCTCACACGACAGGATGTACTTCAGAAATTCCCTAAAGACATCCAGAAGAAAGTCCGCCGTGCCGAGATTACGCACGACGACTGGGACAACAAAGCCTTCATGGAACAACTTCAAAAATCCGTCACGGAAATGGAACGTCTGAATCTTGTCACCGGAAAAAACGCTACTATCGAAGATACGACCCTCAGCTCCTCTCACGCCCCAGACCGCACTATGGAACACCGCTTACGCGAACGCGATTCTCATCTCAGTAAAGCTCCTGTTACCAGCAAATATCCATCCAGAAGCCCGTCGGCCAGCCGAAAACAGCCCTACTGTGTTTTTTGCAAAGTCGACGGCCATAGGAGCGACGATTGTCAGCGCGTCAGAAGCGTCGGAGACAGACGCAAATTCCTCATCGACGAGAAACGTTGTTTCCGATGCCTTAGAAGCTTCGTCGCAGGGGAAGCACATCAATGCAACGCTCGGCCCTGTAAATGCCAAATTCACAGACACCATTTTGCGATTTGCCCATTAGACCCAAAGAAGGCCTCGCCCGTGCCGAGGCGTCGACCCGGAAGGAACCGCAGGGGAAGGAATGATCGCAACCACCTCTCTGTCGGCGCCGCCGGACAGGAAGATCCGTGCTCTGAAGAAGTATCTTCAGAGGACCCAGGGGAAGATTCGAGTGCCGAGAACGAATCGATTACGACAGATTCTGAAAGCGACAATGCCACCGTCCTCACCGCCCACGCCTTCCTAACAACCGGCCCGATCGTTGCCGAAGAATCTTGCCACGAACCCGAAGACCCGACTCAACCACAAGCCGTTGGCCGTCCACGCACGCCGATGAAAATCGCAGCTCAGAGCCGATCGCCAAAAATTATTGCTCGCCTACTAGCCGAAAAGTAAAGCCGATACTCGTGGGGTTTTTTACGGCACCTCCGTTTTTTTCCCCCACCTGGTCGTGTTACCCCCTAAATTTTGTAATTTTTCGAATTCCTTTTTTGCTTCCAGACTAACCAGCTTTTTGATTTGCTCCACCTCAGCTCATTGCCCACCCCCCTATTACTTGGTATTTGCCCATCTGCTTCTGCTAGTTTGTTCCCATGCTAATCGCCAACCAAATGCCCATCCGCTTCACCGTCACCTCACCTCATAACAATGCAAGCCTGCCCCCTAACGAACCCCACTACCGTTAGCCTGTTTTTGTGGCCCCCCGGAGTGTCACACCTCTAAAGGGTGACTTCGCCGGGGCGGCCATGCTAGGCCCTGGGGGAGGCCGCCGTCTCGTATAAAGCTGGCCCGCTTGGCCTCTTTCCTCTCCTTCCAAATCCCCCCAACCCCAACTTCGCCCTTGGCTCGGCCCGCCGGTTCCACTTAGGACCCGACAAGAGCTAAAGGGGATTTGGTGTATTTACGTGCTACGCAATAAACTTCATACCTTATAATAGCCGCACCCTATTATAATAACACCCAAAATCCACTGAACACTATACCGACGCGAATATAGGTGCGACATAGGGTATCAAAATGAAGCTCTTGGAATGCGCTATCAAATCAGTGGTAAAGATTATCGATCGGTTTAACTAGCCGTCAATAGGAGCGTTCGGAAAATCGGCACTTTTTGAAGAATTAATTCCAGATAAAATTTCTTTACCATCCGATCTTTCTGACATTTTGAATTTAGCAATAAATAGGTAACTACTAAGTTTTGGCATCAAGTTTTTCAAAATCCCGATCAAAAAAATTTTTGGCACTTTGCCAAGTCGACGGAATTTGTAAGTTTTATGCTCCGTAAGTTGAAATTGTAACATGGTTATTATTGGAAAACAGGATTACATCTAACAAATAGAAAGTTACGGCGGCCATGTGTCTTTCGTGGTCAACTCGGAATCGCCGTTTCTGGAAAAGTCCGGATTTTCCGAATGCTCCTATTGACGGCTAGTTAAACCGATGGATAATTTTTACCATGCGTTTGATAGCGCACCCCAAGAGCTTCATTTTGATACCCTACATGTCTCCCTAACTCATTAAAAGTTCCATGATTTTCGTCTTCAAAGTTTTCTACTTTTGCAAAAATGTTCAAAAATTCTTAACGAGTAGGGGGTCGTGAAAAATCGTAAAAAGTAAGTTGTGTTTATTCTTCATACCCAGTATATTTAAGCATTCTGGCAAGGTAACGATGGTTCGATTCGTTTCCCCTAGCGAGATATTTTGACGCAAACCAGGCACTTTTTTTTCTGCCCACCCTGTAAAAATTTTCTAAAATACGTTGAAAATGGATTGTATTTCGGCATAAAACGCGGTCCGGGATTAGTTCCCCCGCCCCGATAGCAGTCCTGTACCAAATGTCTTAGAAGTGACGGGCGGGAATCTGTCAAAACCTCGAAATTCAAAATATCGAATTTTCAGAGTCTCGAATTTTTAGAATCTCGAATTAATCTCAAAACCTCCATGGTCTAAATCAGCATTAAAGGATCCGGAAATTGCACGCCTACGCAAAAAAATCGAATTTCAAAGAAAACTGAATTTGTAAAGTTTTGATGTCCATGACTAGCAAAAAACATTGTACTTTCTTTAGTTACAAAATTATTAAAAATCACATTATAGATGAATACAATTTTTATAGAAAAACTTTTTTTATCTATAGAGAAAAACTAGGCTTCGGACGGAAAACTGTGCCCCCCCCCCGCAAGTACTCAAGTACACGCTTTTCACTTACAAATACCCACGCTCCTCTCCTAACCCAAAAATTCTAGCCTCCTGCTAAAAAATGGTCACCGGATTCACCTGGCTCCCATCACGCTCGCCGAAAAGGAACGGCCGTGCCGCATCGGCAGAGATATCGGTGATTTTGCAAGCAAAGACCTAAACCCTGACTTTTCAGACCATTTCCGCCGGCCGCCAGCTGGGGGACGAATGCGCCCGAGGGGGTGGGTTGCCGCATTTCCTTGCTCGATGCGTGAATTTCATCGAAAAGGTGAGTGTGCCTTGTGTTCTCATGACCCACGTTTTCTAGGAGGGCGGTCTGCAAACCGAGGGCATCTACCGCATCCCGGGAAATCAATCCCAGTTGGCCGAGGTGGAGCGGCAGTTCGCGTCAAATGTGGGTTTTTCCATAAAAAAAAATCCAAAAAAGGATCGTAACCTCTCAGCCCTTAAACTCTATCCTGTAATCACCAGTTAGATAAAACACCGGCTTCAGAGCGCCCCTGATCTATCATCAATCGAATTGCCGTTGCATGTGGTGGCCACGGCGCTGAAGAACTTCTTCACCCAGCTTTCCGAGCCCGTGATCCCCACCGTTTTCCAAGACCCCATTGCGGAGGCTGTGGCTGAGGATCCAGCCGTTGTAAGTTGTCTGAAATGTAAAAAATCCTGAAAACAGTGGCATTATTTCACGACCCAATTTAGACGATTGACGCCCTGTCCCAAGTGATCGCTATCGCATCGCAAGAAGGCTGTGACTTCGACTTTGAAAGCAACGTTTATTGCAAAGCATTCGAACCAAACAAGAACAAGTTAAGAACCAATAACGAATTTGTAAATGACACGCCAATTGGCTTGAAACAGGCATAATTTCGGGAAAACGGAGGATGCAAGCCTTCGGGCACTTTTTTTCAGCAATCAGTAACGGGTCCGTCGGGGCGGGGAGCGGCTTCGGGAGCGCTTGCTATGACTATAAATAAAATGTTAGCTTTAGGATATTTACTCACTGTCGGCGCCTGCGGTCGTAATCCCTTTGCCTAGCCTCGCCACAGTACAATCCAGGAGTTGGTTCATGGGCATGGTCGGTGACAGAGTAATCCACACGAAGCGAGCGTCCGTCAAGCTAGACACATTCTTACAAAAAGTTCCGATTCAATAAATACCTCGACGCCATTTACTTCATGCCTAGCGTCCGTGGCATCAGCTTGGTGAACAAATTTAACGAAACCGAAACAGCGGGATTCCATCGTGAAACGATCGCGGATAAGTTTCAACTAAAACGGTTTAATGCCCAGAATACAGACCTACCCTATCGATTTCACCAAAGCGGCCAAACACTTTACGCAACGACTCCTCGTCTGTCCTTCTCGACAGGTTGAAAACGCCAAGCACCCTAAAATTTGTTAACTAAAAAAACTAGAAATTTACTTTGACGGATCCGGGTTATCGCGGTTGGAGCCATTGAAGCCGGTGCCAGTAGATACTCCCATACGTGCCGCTTCAGGGCGCGAGATAACCCTTGGCACTGGCCGCCTAAAGCATAACTACTGTCATGTGTTACAAAATTTACCCAGAGTAATTGCGGCGAGCGTACGGGCTGCGACTGCCGCCTGGTGAACGGCTAAAGGAACGGTTGACGCGTCGACGCGGAGGGGAACGCGAAGTGCGACGATAGTGATGTCCACGGGTCGGCGGGGAACGCGAAAGAGAGCGACGACGTCCACGCGCGGCAGGAGATCGTGAGAAAGATGGAGCGCGTACGCGATTGCGGGCCGGCGGAGAGCGGGAGTTTGATGGAGCACGACCACGGCCACGGGCTGGAGGTGATCGCGAGTGTGATGGAGCGCGACGGCGGTCCCCGGCTGGAGACCGCGAACGGCGTGGGGAGCGACGGTGACCACGTGCAGGAGACCGAGAGCGGGCCGCCGATCGCCGTCTGCCACGAACTGGTGATGGTGAGGGAGATGGGGTGCGGCGTATCCCACGAGCCGATGGCGATACCGAAGGCGACGCATCACGGCTTTGACGAGCAGACTGGGAGCGCGAACGCGTGCGCTGACTTCCCGGCGTTCCGGAGGAAGATGGCGATACGGCTTGGCTGCGACGGCGACGTTCGCGAGCAGTGGACGAACCCGTCGGAGAGTGGCTTGGCCTCGAATGTTCCGTTGAAAGAAGCGGCGACCGCGATTCAGCCCTGATTTCATCCTGCGGCTTCTCTCCGGAAGAGACGGAGTCAGTGCCCGATCCGCCAGAAGGAGATTGCGTCGCGTCGGAAATGTATGAATTGGCCGGGGAAGCATCCAATTTGAGAGCGACTGGGTCCGCGACGTCATCGCCGGAGGCCTGGAAAAATGGGTTTTACAAAACTTATTGGGAAATATACCTGTGCAAGGGCATGCGATGGGGAGCCCATGTCGCCCATCCCTGGAAAAAAAGTTTGTAGAAGAAAAGAAAAGGAAATTTCGTAAGAACACGTGAAAAGAATCTTCGAGATTCGAGAAAAGTTGAACAGAAACTGAAAAAGAAAAAGAAAAACTCGCTGTCCATACCGAGGCGCTTTACGGAATCCGTCAATTGCATTGGTGCGTTGGCGTTACCGACTCAAATCTTTGTTTTGATTTTTGGTCTGCCGACTTTGCGATGACAAAAGAAATAAATTTGTGTATAGATAAAACATATTTTATTTTAATAATATTTTAAGATGAGGAATTTTGCATCCAAGGAGCTCTTCGCAGGAAGCTCCCGTCGATTTCCCAATATTTTCTAATATACCTGAAAAAGCGGATCACCGATCCACATTCTCTATCCGCGCCTCACTGACTTCTAAATTCGTCTGTTCCTGAAAACTGTCAATGGATTCGGGCCCGGTCCAAGCCGACTTCTTGTCGGACGCCGAGTGCAGCGTGTACTCGCCGGGCAAGAGCACGATCACCGTCAGCCTTGACTCGGTCTACGAAGTGCTCCCCAGCGAGGTGATGGTCAGCATGGAAGCTATCAGTAAAGGTATGGGGTCACTCGTTTTCGAAAGTCTACTTTTCAGGTATTTTCGACGAGCCCGTCGACTGTTCCTTCTACGACCCGCCGCGAAGCGAGACCAACGTCAGCATGCTCGAGTCGCTCGATCGTACGTATTTTTCTTGGAATTGAAAATTATAATTTTTGTTTAGCCGACATGGAGACGGCCCTCGACAGCTCCATCTACGAAGCGCTGCCCAGCGAAGCGGCCGTCAGCATGGAGAACTTTTCTCCTCCTGCCGCAAGGCCGTGTATGTGAATGTTCGATCAATTTGAAAACTCTCAATTGCAGGCGCCTCGGTCTCCTCGGTGCTGACAGCTTGGGAGCACTCGGATCCGTCGGTCTACTCGCCGAAGCAAAATACCTGCAACGTCGAGTTTGACGACATCAGCATCGAGAGCGACCACAGCGACTGGTCCGAGTACGAGATGCCGCCTTCCGTGGTGCTCGTTGAAAGTAGGGCCTCGTGCATTGGCTAATCTGAAATCGTTGCAGTGGAGCCCGTTGCTTCCAGCTCGGTGGCTGAGGTCGTCATGCGTGGCAATTTGACCCCCCAATCCGTCAACATTAGAACTACCGGTAATCGTGATATTTTTTTGTTCCCATCCCACGACTTTGTTTAGACCCGGACCAGATCGGCCTCTATGTGAACAAAGCCTGAGCCCCTGCCATCTCCCGCCTCTGCTCGCCCCGCCCCACCCCATCACCACCGACTTATTCGCTTAAAGTTTTGATAAATACGTGTGGACACCGTTTATTGAGATCATTTTCTGGCAATATTGCACAAACAACGAAACCGTAATCGGGCGGACTATTTGAGGTATTTGTATTGAAGGACTAGGTCGCCGCCCTGCTTCCAAATGAAGTGCTTGACGGTGCGCAGGTCCATTTCGGGGTCGAGCTTTTGGTCGTTGCAGTAGAGCTCCAGGCACGTCTCGATGTTTGGCGAGCGGTTGATCAGCGATGGTTGAGCCTAAATCCGGAGTTCAATATACTGTTATGTTACCCACCTCGAGCGAGGAATATTCGCTGCCTCCATGCAGCACCTTCTCGTAGACGTGTTCCATCACTTTTCTGACCTAAAGGGCAATGAATTTGGTTAGGTGACGTTTGCAAAATATTTTGGTTCTGGGCTGTTCATTTTAAATCTATCTAGCAAAAACTTTTAGCGTTTATAGCGCTTTTTTTATAGTTCTTAGCCTTTTTGGCTAGTAAAAAGTCCAAAAATATTTAGAAAATAAAAATTCCAGATCTTTAGCGCCTTCATGCAGTTATAACGACAAATAAAAATTTTCATGATTTTTTAAAACCCTAAAAGGCTATGAAAAAACGTGCCCCGCTAACAGCACAACACAAGCATTTTTTGCACGTTTTCCTCTAGCTTTTCCCCACCTGCAGCATCTCCGTAGCAGAAAGCCGATCTTTCTTCGGCTGTTTCTGCTGCAATGAAGGGTGAGGCAACAGCAGAAAAGGCATCTTCGAGAACTTGGGCAATTGCCCGGCTTGCACAACGTCGATGACCCATGCCGGCAACACCTCGCTCAACATCTGGCTCTCCGCCTCGCCATTCGCATCCCGTACCAGCAGGCGGAAAAGCGGACGCCCAGTGCCCGACTCGCTGACAATTAACGGGGTATAGGACGGGATCACTGGATGCCCGACGAGCGATGGATCGTCGGATGCGGCCGCGCATTCCGGCCATCTCTCGAATAGAGCCCGCAGTACCATACCGCCGTAGTTCACCTGCACTTGCTGCTGATTATATGCTTCGGTTGTTAGGACAAACCTTTTGGTCGGCATCGCTGATGCCCGCGTCTTTGGCCGATACCCATGCCGAGAAAACGTCAGACTCGTCGAGCGCTATTTGCAACATGCCGCTCTTCAAATCAACCAAAAACCATGACGGGACGAACACTTTTCTCGAGTGTTCCTTCACCACCTCTTCCATTGTCTTGTCCGTCCACTCGTTGACCTGAACCGTTGCTTTCATTATATTTTGAGGTGCTTTAACTTTATCGGGGGAGCCGTTTTTTTTGTTATAATCGATTTTCTAGTATTCATAAAAACTTGTTGTTGGAATTGTTTCTAAAACTTGTTTACTATTTTAAAACGTAAAACCTACAAAAAATGTTTTAACTAAATTTCCAAGTTTTCAAAAATTTGCGGCGTCTTTTGGTTACTTTTCCACTTTAAATGTTGTTAATACTTACTTTCGACTATTTAAAAACGTGCTCTCCCGTTACTGGGTATTTCGGCGCTCGGTTAAAATTCTCCCCCCGCTAATGAAAATACAGATCTTGGCAAATCACTATAGTTCAACAAGCCCCACCTTTTTAGCAGATAACACGTCCCAGAGCGCAATCTGACCAATCGAATCCCTGGTGACGACGTGCCGTTTGTCATTCAACACCATATGCTGTCGCAGCGAAGGCGCCCCAGGGACGATCATGTCCTCGCGGCTCACCAACGGCTTCGGGTCGTCAAAACGGATCAGGTCGTATGAAGAGCACTCTGGGGCATCATTGATCGACAGCTGGGAACCCTGCGGGATTGGCCAGCGTCGTATCGTGGACGTCCACGAAGCCACCCAGAGGCTCTTGGGCTGATCGGCTTCCAGAAGGAGCATTTGCTTGACGGGGGCTTCTTCCACGCACAAGAGTTGTGAATTTGTGTAGTTGTTGATGGATGTGCGGTAGACTCGTTTGTCACGTCCGCCCGAGTACACGTGATTCCAGCCAGCGTCTGTCTGAAGAATGAGTTTTTGGGTTGGATTTTAGTTTCTTTGGCACCCGAGCATTTGGTAAGCATTTTTTAGATGGGTAAGGATGGCAAACCAAATCAAAAGTGTTTTTATATTGTTTTACTATAATTAACTAAATTTAAGGTCCAGAAACTTTTAGAATGTTGCAAAATGTTTGAAAAATCCTAAACTGGGGTGATTTATGTTAAAAATCGGTTCGTTTACATAAAATATACATTTTTCATTAAAAGTTCTAAAAAATTTGGTTCAAGAGTAGTTTAAAAGTAATTTAAGGGTTCTTTCGGTGCATCCAGGTTAACGGGGGGGCGTTTGCAAACTTTTCTTTGATTAGCCTATATCTGCCTAACTATATTAAATTAATACTTCTATTAATATTCTATTAAATATTAAACTAGTATTAATAAATTGTGGTTTAGTTTAATAATCTTTGGTAGTTTCCGAAAACCAAAATTATAAAGCATTTATCCTAAAGTCACAAAGTCTAGGGTTTTGGCTCTTTTTTCACCATTTTCTTGCACGGTAGACCGAAAAAAGTAAAAATTTTGAACGTCTTTAATGATGTTTTTCTTAATCTTTCCACCCCCGCTAACAATCCAGAACCGCTTGCAACGGCGTACAAGTCTATAAAACGGTAAAATTTTAATTAGTCGACCCGCACAATAGTATAGGAAAAGTGCGCAACGGCCCCCCGCTAACATGGAAGCACCGTTTTTTTCTCGTGATATGAAAAGTTTAGGCTTGTGCCGAAAAAAAGATGTTTTTTTTTCTAATATTTCAAATGCCCACCTGTAACGCCCAGACACCTTCGGAGTGCACGTTGGACGTAAAAACGGTCCTTTGCATGCCAAGATCCCAGAGCCGAAAGCTCCCATCCGAAGACCCAGAAATGCACTGCTTGCCGTCGGCGCTGACCACAATCGCGCGGATGTTATCCGTATGCCCGCGTAGCTTCATCATTTTCTGACAGGTTCTCGGGTCCCATATCCGGAGCACCTTTTCTGTGGACCCGGAAACGACCACCGTGCCGGCGTGGTTCATCCCCAGCGCGTAGACGCTGTTCTTGTTGCCAGCCAGGGCCGAAGTGGTCACCGTGTTGTTGGTGGCTGTCAACCGGGTCAGCGTTTCGACGTCCCATAGGTATACGCAGTTATCGAACCCGGCCGACGCTACGCGCTCACTTTCCTTGGCGTACGCCAGCGCAGACACGTAATCGACGTGCGTGCGCAGTGTCGACATGCAAAACGTTTTCGTTGCATTCCACACTTTAATCGTTGAATCGTTGGAGGCGGACAGCAGGAATTTCCCGCCGCCGCACAACACCATGTCGTTCACCCAGTCGGTGTGGTGTTCCATCGAGGAGAGGTACTGGGCTTCTTGTGGTTGGCCATGCGTCGGGGCATCTCTGGGGATCCTCTAGGTGGTTTATGTGAAAAAGGATTTTAGCAAACTATTTTGTTTTCAGCAGTTTTGTCCCAAAAAAGCATAGGTACTGGGCAGTTAGCCGGGGAAAAACACAATTTTTGTTTTTCCGTCGATAACTACCTGTTAATAATAAATAATGTATTTTTATAATGTTTAATAATTTTAATTGCTAAAAAAATTACAAAAAAATTTAAACATTTTTGATAAGTCAAATTTTTAGCTTTTTTTCGATCATTTTTCATACATTTTGGACCAAAAGTCAACATTTTTATGAGCTTTTTATCTCAAGTCTGTGCAAAATGCTTTATATTTTGTTATAGGCTCATACACAATTACTGGGAAAGGTAGTTTTCCCCGGCTAAAAATCTCCCCCCTGCTAACAGTCCAGTACCACCCTTTCTGTGTACTCATAGCAAACCTCCACGTCCTGATTATCGTATCAGCGCCCCCTGTAAACAGTCTGCTAGTCGATGGGTCCCATTGAAGACAGTTGATGAACGCTCGGTGTCGCTTCTCCTCGGGATCGCGGAGTATGTACGATATCCGCCGCTTGTTGCTGTACGTGACCCCGATTGTGTGGGGAGTCGACGTACTAGCCGTCATTCTACAAATTATTGGGTTTTTTTTCTGTCAAAAAGCCGATTAAAATAATTTCAATAACAAAGCCACAAATGCCGAAACCAAATCTGGCACCAATAACCTTGCCTAACGCCGCCCTATTGGGCTACAAAGAACTCCAGAGCACACCTCATCCCTGTGCTCGCATGACCCTTGTTGCAAAATTAAGCTAGCGTAAGCGGCCCCGTTGCCTTCGAAGTCTGCAAAAATTGATGAAAATCTGTACAGATGAGCTTCTTCATCTCCACAAATGCTTTATTTGGGACGGCAGAGCCGAGCAGAATCGAAAGAATCAATAGGGGTAAGCAGCGGTTGAAACTGGGGCCTGACTAACTAATCGAAAGAAGCTCGCTAGAAACGAACCGAACCTGAAATAACGCGGGGTTTAGAAAATGAGCGCGGTAACCTGGCCACCATCACGCGTCTGGTCATCAAGGGATTGCTGGAGCATTCGATGAAGTCGCTGAATCGACTTGTCAACGGTAATTTGGCTGCTCGACTCGATGAGGTGGTTTTACTTATTTCAGCAGACGGCACCGAGTTGTGCGACTTTTTCATCATGCTGGAGAAGGTGTTGTTCCATGGGCTGAAGACAAGTGGTAAATTTATTGATGAAAAGCCTCATAATGTTGCCTAGATAAAAAGGCGCTGATTTCGCTCACTTCCCCGGACGCCGATTTATGGGCGACCCTAGGGCGAGCTCTCGTGGATCCTAGAAATTCTGAAAATTCGATTAGTCAGGCATATCGTTGCGTGGAACAGTTGGAGTACCTGAAGTGGGTGCTTTGCGGTTTGAATCTTGTAACAAAGTCGTTTAGAACCTCGATTAGCAGGGTTCGGGCCCTTCTGCGGCTTTCCATGATGCAGAAGAGGCTTCACGATTTGTTCACGGATTATACGAGTTCACCAGTGGTCAGGTAGGAAAAAATCTACTTGGAAGTGTGCAATGCTTGAAACATAGCGATTTTAGGGAACAATACGAGGATTGGGCTCTCTTGCGAAGCCCAGACGCCGAACCCCTGGTCGGTCAGCTCATCGGACTCTCAGTGCTCACGTGTACTTTCACTTTGGATTTTGGGCTGCTAAAGGTATCTAGGTAATAAAGTGGATGGACATATATTTCAGGACCAACCAGTCACGATTGATCTATCGCGCTATATCAAGATCCCGACACAAATAACGGGCGCCGAGGAAATGAATATATCTGAGGTTTTTATAGCTATACCTTAAAACTGTCATAGGATTTGAACGAGCAACAACAGGAAATGAAAACGCTGCTGGATCAGAATCACTATTTGGAGGAGCGGAATAGATTGTTACAGTTCGAGGCCTTTCTTTGACATTATTTTGGTTTTAGGGACAAAGTGGGGGAGTTGAAGAAGCGGATCTACGAAGAGGAAAACGGGTCTCCGTTGGATGCAGCGGCGGTAGTTTTGTGAGAGTTTGTTTGGAAGAACATTTCAGGTATCCTTCCAACGGCTGTCTCAAGAAACTGCACGCCGGCAATCGGAAGCCGATTCCGGAAAGTTGTGGATGGCTGAAAAGGAGAGACTGTTGGGAACTGTAAGTGCCGATAAATTGAAGAATTTATGGAAAGCTGCAGATCATCGAGAAAGAGGATGCGGTGAGGCTAGCTGAACAGCAGAAGGCAGATCTGGCAAAAATGAACAAAGAGCTCTACGAAAAATTGGTAGGTTTATATCCAAATCGACTTAATTAATTTAGAGGGAGGCCGAAGATGCCGAGAAAAAGCTGGAAAATGATTTTATTTTGTTGAGGACACAGCATGCTCAGGTAAGTATCGTCTTGAAGGTAAATAGTGAGTAACAAACAACGTAATAGATGTAATAAGTAAGTACTAGTTGATAAATTCATAAGTTGTAAATTCCTAGGAAAAACAATCAATGATGCAAGCGATGGAAACGCAGCACAGCTCCCAGGAGCATGACCAAAAGCTGCTCGGTGAGATGCACGCCATCGGCGACAAGTACACCAACACCCTCAGCCATCTGGAGGAGAAGCAAAAGGAGTTGAGAGGTAACTAGGGACATATTTTGAATCTTACCGATTTAGCGGTAAAAGAAGAGCTGCGCAAAACCGAGCAAGAACGGCATCGCTTGGAGCAGGAGCTCAAGGAGCTCCCTTTTCTTACAAAGGTTAGTTTATTGGCATATTACTGGAAAAAGGGAACAATTTAGGAGATAGAGACGCTGAAGGAGCAGCTGGGCGCCGTCGAGGAGAAGGCGAACAGCTACGAGACGGCCCTGATGGATCTGGGGTGTGATTTGTCCAGGTAAATTTAAGGTATTTTGTATTCTTTTTTTTCAGCACCAAGCTGAAAATCCTGGAGCTGCGTGAGGAGATGCTGCCGATGGGCGGTGACTGGCAAAAAGATGCGGAGGTGGCCGGATGCACCGGGTGCAACGTGCGCTTTAGTTTGACGAGGCGGAAACACCATTGCAGGTAGGTCACTGGATTCGTTGTGGTAAAATTGACGTTAAAAACGTAAAAACGTTACGTTACATTAAAACCATCAAAACGTTACGTTACTTTAAAAACGTAGAAACTTTACATTACCTTAAAAAGTCTAATGGGTTAAAAAAATTAGTTTTTCGACCTAAAATAAAACCTTTAATCAATGTTCTTAAAGCTTTGATGCGCACGTTAAATTACGCTAAAAAGTTAAACGGTAATTAAAATTTCAGGGCTTGTGGCCGTATTTTTTGCCAAGCCTGCTCATCGACCCGTGTCCGATTGCTGTCGTCTACGAACCCGGTGCGCGTGTGCCACGGCTGCTTCCACAATCTGCAAACCCTCCACACCCAAAATCCGGACGGAAATACCTCATAAACACTACGCAACTACTTTATGATTTCCCACGCATGCCATAAGTTCTCCAATGGTTTCTGCTCGCTTGTCCCTTGCAGGACCTTGAAATTTCACTTCTTCGGCCCTTCTTCGCCTATACTTATCCAGATTTTTGTGGTGTTTTCGCATTATCGGGAGGGGGGGGGCTTTCTCCTGCGGATACTAATAATTCTCGACAGTTTTTTATATTCCCAAGCGTAACAACTTTTAAAAACTACAAAAATATCGATTTGTCGACCAAACATTTTTTTTTTTTGAAAATTGCTACTTTTCCTCGATCGGTTTTTCATTTTAAATTGATCTAAATTTTAGTAAAAAGACTATTATTAAACTAGTTTTTAAATGTAAAAGAAAATCTCCCCCCCCCCCCCCCGATAATGGCAAAGTACGATTTTTGCGCAAATCGCTTAGCAGCTGGCTGTTAAAATGGGTGCCCTATTGCTGATTTACATGTACGCTCATCTGTGATTCGCCCATAAAATCAAAGTAATGCCTCGCTGCCGCTCTGTGATTCGTCCATATTTTTGTATAATTGATTATGATCGTAAATAATTTTATACAAGTTTAGACGTCGACATATATACAAGACAACGGCGAAAACAATACAAAAACAATCGAATAGAGAAAAAAAAGGAAAGAAAACACCCGATTTGTGCTGTCGATCAAGGGAATTTTGTGTTGAGAGTGGCGTGGTGGGGGCTGTTTTGGCACATCGAGATGAGATTGTCATTGATTTTAATGTTAGAAAATATTGCTATTGAAGTTTTTAGAGGAATTTAAAGAATAACCTTAAAATCATGGTACTGGGTCGTTAACGGGGGTGGGGTGCAAAATCAATTTTATTGTCTTAGTTTCCAAATTTTTGATAGTCTTGCTGAATTTTTTGATCGATTAAGCCAGAATTTTCTGGAGTTTTAAATGTTTCTAAGCATTTTTTTTGAATAAGCGGATTTTAGTAGTGTCGAAAATTGATAATTTCGAAATTCTCAGTGTCGGACTTGCACAATGTCGGCATTTTTGCCTAGTTTTTCGGGGATTTCCTGTTTTTTCGTGCTAAATTAAGGCATTTTGTTAAATTTGCTTTTGTCGAAATTAATTTCGTCGAGCAGAAAATTGTAACTTCAGCGAAGTAAAAATGCCGACAAAATGAGATTTCGACAAGGTGGAATTTCGACAGCCTAGTTCGCAACGAAACGAAAATAAGCCGTTTGAATTTTAGTTATGATAAAACTGTTGCTCCCCCGATAACGATGCAGAACCAAAAATATAATAAGAATGAAAGATTAACTTCCGCAGTGCTAACAAGGCTACAAGCTACAAAATCTAGGCCCTGACCGGTGCCGGCCCGGGGGTAAGTCGAGCTGCGGGCTGGGCCCCGGGCCGACCGACAACGACTTGTGGCTGGTGACCCTGCTGGGCCTTTTGGGCGGAGGTTGGCGGTTGGGGGGTGGGCTGAGCGGGTTGAGGGGGTTGTGGTGGGGCTGGGCGGGGGTAGACGATCCGCAACGCCGAGCTGGCATCGATCTCTTGGCGCAGAATGGCTTGGAAGATGAACTCGGGCGAGTAGATGGCTGAAACGAGTCGTTGGTTGATTGGTATGTGCTTTATGAATTCTGTTGTCGATCTAAATCAGCATAAACTTACGAATATGGGCCTCGACGAGGTACTCGACCAGCTTGACGTCGGCCTCGGCGCCGATGATCAGGTACGAGCCGTCACGTTCGAGGTGTTCGCCCACTTGGCGGGCAGTCGGTCGCTCTGCGTCCACCTTAAAAATCAAAGTTAAGAATTTTTTTGTTGATTTTAACGATCAATAGGTTTCAATAATTTTTAGTTGAATTCCCACCTCTCCGCCGGATAACTCGACGAGACGTTGAAGCGTTGCGCGAGACGGGTCGACGGATGGGGTGATGTAGATGCGAATGCCCTGGGAAAAATCGACTTGGCTTGGCCTTGCTTTGCTTCGTTAGCCTAGGCTTAGCTTAGGCTTAGCTTAGGTTTAGCCTGAGCTTAGCTTAGATTGAAACTCCCTAGCCGACCTCACCTGTAGCACCCGCGCATTCCGTGCCCTGATGATGGACGCCTTCAGGTTGTAGCCGTGCATCCTCTCCGAGTCGTCGTCCTTCATCAAGAACGCGATCGCGTCCTGCCACTTGCCCGACTCGTAGGAGGTCAGAATGTACTCGGGGCGCACGACAAAGGCGCCGATGGCTATCGCCTGGAAATGGGGGATGTGAAAAGGACTGTGGCCTAATTTTCGGTTTTGCCAAAAATCTTTTATTTGGACTACCTTAAGCAACGGGACGCTCCGCTTGCCGTTGAGGACGACGAGATGCGTGCACTGCTCGACGTCCTTCACCACCTCCGCACCCAGGAAGCGGATTTGCTGCAAAAAATTGATTTGCGGATTTGGGATGAGATTAGGCTTGGGCTTCTTCCTTAGGTTAGGCTTAGGTTTAGGCCTAGGATCACGCCGAGGCTTAGGTTTTGGCTTAGGCTTAGGCTTGGGCTTCGCTTGGGCTTACTCTTGGGCTTAGATATAGGCTGAGGCTTAAGCGTCGGCGTCAGCTTAGGCTTGGGTTTAAGGTTAGGCTTAGGCTTAGGCTTATGCTTAGCTCTACTCACAGTCTTCCGCTGCTTTTTTCTCATACCTTGCTGATCCGCTCGGCGACGTCTTGCTCAAAACCGCACAGGGCAAACCGGTGCGGCGGTCTCTTCGACTTGCGTCGCTTCTCGTTGGCCTCGATGATGTCCTCCTCGGATGGCGCCTCGATCTCCCTAGAAGAGTTGGTGTTGCTTAAAGGGACCGGAGAGCCAACAACTCTTTTGGGGAGTCCCCGCCCCCCCCCCGCTAACGATCAAGAACCCGAAATCCCACCTGTACTTCAAATTCGGGAAAACATTCTCGGCCTGGAGCTCTTGCTGGAGTTTTTGAGACTGCATGAGGCGCTGGTGCTCCTGCGGCATCAACGCGTGCCAACCCACTAAAATTGTCATAATTTGATAAAACTAAGGAAATTAATAATGCCGAAATCGAAAATATTAAAGATTCACATTGCGGCTATTCATAATGTCGAAAAAATCAATTTGAAATCTCATAATGCCGAATTCAATATTTCCAGAATTTCTGCTCTTTATACATGGTATTATTGAGGAATTTCGACAATATACCGACAGAATTGTCGGTATTTTTTAGGAATTTCGATATTTCGATAACCTACGCAGCATATGCCGATGCAGGTTGTCGATCTGCTCGAGGGCGTACGGCGTGGTGTTGACTTCCTGGGCCGGCGCCCCAAGCTGGTATTGAGGAAGATCGATGTTCGCCTGAAACGGGGAGGCTAGCAGTAATCTTTTGGGATTGGAGCTAGATTCCGTATATACATACCATTTTCCCGAAATAACACTCGAGCAGCCAATTGTAGTTGACGATCGGCACGTTCCACTCTTTCGCCTTGGTGATCTTCTCGCCGGTTTCGCTGGAATTAGGACGGTATTATAAGGAAGAGCAATGAAGCTTAAAGGTACACTAAAATCTCGTTCAAAATGTTCGGTCGCGGTAGGAAATTGGGGCTCTCTGCCGCAGAAAACCCAGCCCCTTCTTATCGCCTCTCCCCTTTCCCCCTCCCGTCTCTCCCATGGCCTAGTGGTCCAAGGCGCTGCCCCAGGCTGGCAGCCACGGTTCGGTTTTGCTCCGCGGCGAGCGCCTACCGTAACCCTGTTTGCTATCCCGCGGACGGTTAC